AAGATTATCTTCTGTGTCTGTGTTAATTGGTTTCCCTTTTCTTTGTTGAAGAGGGTCTGTGCAATCCTTCTGCCTAGTCCGCCATCTTGCCCCGCCTCTCATTTGATTTCTTGACTGCTGCTTCCATAGGTGTTGATTGTGGATCCAAGTAAAATGAAATCATTGACAACTTCAGTCTTTTCTCCTTTTATCATGATGTGCTTACTGGCCTAATTGTGAGGATTTTTGTTTTATGTTGAGGTGTAATCTGTGTCATAGGCTGTAGTTCTTGATCTTCATCAGTAAGTGCTTGTTCTCTTCACTTTCAGCAAACAGTGTTATGTCATCTGTATATCTCAGGTTGTTCATAACTTCCTGTGATCCTGATGCCACATTCTTCATATAGTCCAACTTCTAGGATTCTTTGCTCAGTGTACAGATTGAATAAGTACGGTGAAAGGATACAACTCTGACACATACCTTTCCTGATTTTAAACCATGCAGTATTCCCAAACAACAGCCTCTTGATCTATGTATGGGTTCCTTATGAGCACAATTAAGTCTTCTGGAATTCCATTCTTCATGGTGTTATCCATAGTTTGTCATTATCCACACCATCTAATGCATTTGTGTAGTGAATAAAGCACAGGGTTATAAATGTTACAGTATTTACCATAGTTGTCCTTTATTCTTACATATCTCTCTCTCAGTGTCTTTCTTTGTCTTGGTCATATTGTATTGACTTTTCCCATACTGTGTATTGCCTTTCCCTTCACCAGAATTAACACATTTAATATCTAGTTAGTGATTCTTCCTCTGATCCCTGGTGACCATCAAAGAGTGTTTCTTTCTGTGAATAAACCTGTTGTTGACTTTATAATAGGAGTCTCATACAATATTTGCCCTTTTGTGATTTTTTATTTATTTCACTCAGCATAATGTCTTCCAGATTCATCTATGTTGTGAAATGTTTTGCAGATTCGTCATTATCCTTTACCATCACATAGTATTCCATTACATGTATGTACCACAATTTATCCATTCATCCATTGATGGACATGAATTGGTATCCATCTTTTTGCTATTGTGAGTAATGCTGCAGTCAACATGAGTGTGTATGTTTATATTCACGTCACAGCTCTTATTTCTCTAGGATATATCCTAGAAGTAGGATTGCTAGATCATGTTTCTAGCTTTTAAAAGAAGTGCCACACTGTTTTCTGTAGTGGTTCTACCATTTTATAGTCCCACCAATAGTGTTTAAGAGTTTCCTTTGCCCTACAACCTCACCCACGTTTGTTGCCTTCTGTTTTTTCGATCAATACCATTATTGCCAGGGTGAGGTGGTATCTCATTATAATTTTGATTTGCATCTCTAATGGCTAAAGATCACAAGCATCTCTTTATGTGTTTGTGGTTTTATTGTTGAGGTATTGAAGTTTTCTGTAAATTTTAGAGAATAAGACCCTTGTCAAATAGTGATAGCCAAATACTTTTTTTTCCCATTGTATAAATTCTCTTTTTACTCCTTTGATGTCCTTTGATGATCATAAGTATTTAATCTTTTGGAGGTCCCAGCTATCTAGTGTATCTTCTGTGGTTTGTGCATTTTTAGTTATACTTAATAGTCTATTTATGCCCTTTTAAGTTCTAACCTTTTGCTTAGCATACATTTGCTTAACCATTGCACCACCAGGGCTCTTTATTGTTCATCGTAATCTTCCTCTTATCTTCATGTGATTATAATTTTAAATCAATGAAAATTCTGTAAAAATTTTCTGGTTTTGTAGATGGGCTAATAAAATTAATCATTCAGAATAGCATAATTGGATTCAGAACTTCTGTTTTTCTCCTTACATCAGAAATGGGAGAATTTGTTCAGTTAGAATTATCTTAAATATGTTTTTAAATGTTAAATATAATCAGTCAATTCAGTGGAATAAGATTAGAAATTCTTTTCCTTTTTCCATGATACAGAATTCTCCAAAACACCAGTGGGGAGAGGAGGAACCAAATTCTCAAACGGTAATAAATATTTGCTCTATCTGGGTAATCATTAAAATTTAAAATTTCTGATGGCTAATATGAATAAATGCTTGACTTGTAGCTTTAGATAACACAAGTGAATAAGGGCTTGGTTAAAAGGAGAACAAGAACAAGATGTTGATCTTTTTTTCTTAATAAGTTTTGCTTCCCTCTCTCTGTCTCAGGAAAAAGAACATAACAGTGAAGATGAGGATGAAGATAAATATGCAGATGATATTGACATGCCAGGACAGAATTTTGACTCTAAGAGACGAATTACTGTCCGGAATCTCAGGATTAGAGAAGATATTGCAAAAGTAAGTCTTGCCAATTTAGCATACATATTTGAAAGACATTTGCCTTTTCAGCCTAATTTTTGTTACTCATATAGTATAGTATATGGATGATATGGTTAGAATTATTTCAAGATTAGGTACCATTCTACTTTTTCTCTCTTCATCTTACTCTGGACACACACCCATTTAATTTGTCATGATCAACTACCAAGCCATTGAAATCTTTTTTGCTATAAGTAAACATTAATGCAGTCTTTAAACTTTCTTTTTTCTAGTATTTGCGGAATTTAGATCCAAATTCTGCTTATTATGACCCCAAAACTAGAGCGATGAGAGAGAATCCCTATGCCAATGCAGGAAAGAATCCAGATGAGTAAGTGTCAAGTTAAATTTACAAATTTCAAGATGAGGTAAGAAAGATTTTAAGCTTGAAAAATCTTAATTAAAATGAACATCATATGTGAGTGGGTCACAGAAGAATTAACTTCTCTTAAATCAATTTCTCTGATACATTGCTTTTTGATTTGTATTTATAGAGTGAGTTATGCAGGAGATAACTTTGTCCGATACACAGGAGATACCATCTCAATGGCTCAGACGCAGTGTAAGTGTTTGCTCTTATAATAAGGCATTTTATGTCAGCTTGTAAGATATTTGGAAGTATTATTTTAAGCTAATTTCGGAGAGAATGTGATAAATGTAGCTGGCCATTTATTTGGATGTTTTTGATTATTCTAGTGTTTGCTTGGGAAGCCTATGACAAAGGATCTGAAGTGCATCTGCAGGCAGATCCTACAAAACTAGAGCTGTTGTATAAATCATTCAAAGTTAAAAAAGAAGATTTCAAAGAACAGCAGAAAGAAAGCATCCTGGAAAAGGTAATTTTGACAGAATGCTAAAGAAGAATGTACTTGAGAATTTACTAGGTAATGAGCCTTTCTTTGTTTTACATTTGGAATGAAATAAGAGTGTCCCTTTTATTCCATGAGGAACATCCTTTCCATCATTGTCTTAATCAGTTGTTACATACTTTTTTTAATCAGCTTTTTTCTCCTCATCTTAAAAAGGCTGTTTTTAATGTTCACAGGCCTCCAACCCTTTAAATATGATATATAGGGACTTCTAACCGAAACCAAACCCATTTTTATCGAGTCACTTTTGACTCATAGTGACCCTATAGGACGGAGTAGAAGCTCCCCATAGGGTTTCCAAGACTTAATGCCTACAGAAACAAACCACCTCATCTTTCTCCCATCAAGGAGCTGGTAGCCTTGAACTACCAGCCCTTCAGATACCAGCCAAGCACTTAACCACTGCACCACCAGGCTCCTATATGGCACGTAAAACCAAGAAACCAAACTCACTGCCATTGAGTCAATTCTAACTCATAGTGACCCTGTTGGATAGAATAGAATGGCCCTTGGGATTTCTGAGGTTGTAAATCTTTGCAGAAGTGGACTGCCTCATCTTTCTCCCATAGAGTACCTGCTGGGTTCAAACCAGTGACCTTTTGGTTAGCAGCTGAATGCCTTAACCACTGTACCACCAGAGCGCCTATATGACACTTAGAAATGGGGGGAGAAAGGCTATCTCATGAAGACAGCATCCCAAAGAGAACTGAATACAGATCAGATATCAGTTAGCTTTTACAGCAAAACAAACCACCCAAAATTTTGTAGCTTAAAATAAATGGTCATGATTTCTGACAATTCTGTATGTTGACTGGGTCTCCTGGTGTGGACCAGTTCAGCTGAGGCTGGATGGTCTAAGATAGCCTCATGTTGTTATCTATCAGTTAACAGGCTAATTGTCCTGAAAGGGCTTCATCTGTGATAGTTCATCTCAACACCATATGGTCTCTCATCCTCCAGTAGACTAGTCCCTCCTACTCATTCTTTACATGGCAGTTGCAGGATCTCAGAATAGCAAAAGAAAGCATGCCCTAATGCACACATGCTTTTCAGTGCATGTGATTGCCAGTTTCCCATTGGCCAAAGCAAGTAATATGGCCGAATCCCAATTCCAGGAATGGAGAAATAGACTCCATCTATTAATGGAAAAACAGCACAGTGTGTGGCAAAATGTCATGCATAAGAGGAATTTATGGCTTTTTTTGTAACCTACTACACTCAGCAGATGAATAACACTTGAGATATCTTTTGTTTGCTAATAAAAATTTAGTGGTATTTTAGTGTTAACAATTTTTTTCACTGTGTTTCATATGACAAAACCTAGTAAAAAAGTTTCTTTTGTGTTTCTGATTGAGAATAAACCTTTCAGCTGAGATATGAATACAAATCTCTTATTACTTCTTTAATAATACCCAATATCCTTTTAGTATGGTGGACAAGAACACCTGGATGCTCCTCCAGCTGAACTGCTTTTAGCTCAGACAGAGGACTATGTGGAGTACTCTAGACATGGAACAGTCATCAAAGGACAGGAGCGGGCTGTTGCCTGCTCCAAATATGAGGAGGATGTGAAGATCAACAATCATATGGTATGTGTTCAACCCAGACCTTTTTGTGCCCTCTTTAGCATTTTGCTCTGGATAGCATTTTTCTGTTAAAACTCATTAGTTAGTCATTTCTAGACTTTTAACTTTGTATTAAAAAATTTTTTCAAGAATACAAAGAATAATGAAACAAGATCTGTACCTCACACCACACACAAAAACGAACTCCAGATGGATCAAGGACTTAAATGTGAAAC